GTCCCCCTGCCAATACAGACTGCGTACGGTCGGTGAGGAAGGAGGAGAACCACCGCATAACGGTGCCTCCCACTCCTAACCCACCGAGACGCCGCAGCATGATACCGTGGTCTACGGTATCAAAAGCCGCTGAGAGGTCCAAAAGAACAAGGACAGAGGAATATCCTCTGTCCCGGGCCCTCCAGAGATCATTAACTAATGCGACCAATGCCGTTTCCGTGCTGTGCCCCGGCCTGAAGCCCGACTGGTATGGGTCTAGATAGACTGTTTCATCCAGGTGCCGAGGGAATTGCTGTGCAACCACACTCTCAACAACCTTCGCCGCAAAGCGAAGGTTGGAGACCGGGCGATAAACAGGTTTTAATCAGATTACTAATATACTACTGTGGTTAAGCTGTTTGTATTCATGTTTTCATTCTCTACTTCACTTGCAATTTTATTGTTCTTCTCCTTGAGCACTATATTTAACAGAAAGATATGATACAAATTTAAGACAACATAACAAGCAATACTATAGTCCAGGGGTAGGCAACCTTGGCTCTTTTATGACTCGTGGACTTCAACTCCCAGAATTCCTGAGCCAGCATGGCTGGCTCAGGAATTCTGGGAGTTGAAGTCCACGAGTCATAAAAGAGCCAAGGTTGCCTACCCCTGCTATAGTCATTCTTACCGAATTAGAATTTATCAGTAGGCCCAGTTGAATTTATATGCCTACTAATGGTATTTTTTACTGTTCCGACATTGCCAAAGAAACTTTTATCCCATTCCAGATGGAATTACTTACTTGGACAATAGCAGGATCCTGGGGCAGATTATGCTGTGCTTTTGGAGGCTCACATACAGTGATGTCTTTAATGTCACTCCCTCGGAATATGATATATTCATAAACTTCCTCTCTTGGAGGAGCAGGACGATCCGTGGGACGATCTTCGGTTCCAAATGAGCGCACTTTGAAGAAAGACTTAAGCGTTAGTATTTGAGCTCACCAATTTTTCCACACCATCCTTAGATCAATGTCTCTTTTGGCTACGTGTTTCGAGCTATGCTATCACTTTTCAAAATGCGAGTTTAGTATTGATAGGAGAAAATATTTGTAGCTCAGGGTTGAACTGAGGGGTCCCTTGGCGCTCTCTGAGCTTTTCTTGCAGATGCTTCATTACCAAACTAGGTAACGTCATCAGCCAAGTTAGTATTTTTTAAGAACTTATATGGACCTGGCTACTGAGTGGCCCACGTTCTTAGCACTTGTTGACCAATATTAAAGGCTGCCTCTTGCCTCCCTCTCCATCACACTGTATTGTTGCTTTGGAACTGAGATAACTCCTGCGAAGGAAAATTTATCAACTGACAATTTCCCATTTTTTTCTAATCCAAAGAGTAATGGAAGAAACTTATTTCTCTTCCATGTGTCCTCCCCCATCCAGGAGGGGGGGGGCAAATTGTGGCCAAGTGACAGGGGATCCTGGGTGTCCTGTTTAATGTTCCATCCAAGAAGCTTATCCAACACTTATGCTGATAGAATGTGATCTATTTTGAAGCCATATTTTGAGAGCATACATTAAATGACTAAAGGTCATTTACAATGTCATTTGTGACTTACGATCACAATTGAGCCCAACATTTCTGTTCCTGAGTGAGACGTTTGTTAAGTGAATTTTGCCCCATTTTATGGCCTGTCTTGCTACACTTATTAAGTGAAACACTGCAATTGTTAAGTTAATAATAGAATTGTTAAATGAATCTAGCTTCCCCATTGACTTTGCTTCACATAAGGTCGCAAGAGGTGATCATATGATCCCGGGATACTGCAATAATCATAAATATGAGCCAGTTTGATCATGTGATCATGGGGATGCTACAATGGTGGTGTAAAAAATGGTCATAAGTCACTTTTTTCAGTGCTATTGTAATTTCAAGCGGCCATTAAATCAAGTGTTGTAAACCAAGGGACTACCTGTACAATTATGATCCTATACTAAACATGTCTCGCGGTGCACTAAGAATCTGTGATAATAGCAACTTTAATTACATTTTACACCGTCATTCACAGAAATATCTTCCCCTCACTATTGTTATTAGAACAACATATGAGATGATGTTATCATATTCATTTCCTGTTATGAGTTATCAATTTGGCCACTGTGGGAAAAGAATGCTGAATTAGATTGGTATTCTAAAGCCAGGATCTATCCAATATGTTTTCAGCATTAGGCAGAGACCTTTCATTTTTCAAAGGCTTTACATGATTTTTTTTTTCCTTCCTGAACAATAAATATTTCATTTATACAGTCATCTTTAAAAACCTGAATTGGCTGGAAATACTTATTAAAAAAATATTACATAACTGTATAAATTAATGCTGTTTTGTACGAGTGGTTCAGAAATTAAAACATATCAAGTTTCTCTCATATTTCAAATAAGTAGATTACTCAAAATTATACTTGAATGTTTGCTTTTTACTAACATTGCTCACTTGCAGGAATGAAACCATATAATTTGGGGCCGAAGAAAGAAGTAAACCAAATACTGAAGTAATTCATCCCTCAGTTTTCTTTAAATCATGCCTATCCACCCTTGCAGAATGGAGCAATTAGCAAGGAAGTTTGATACTGAGAGAAAAGCAAAATGTTTATTCAACATAAAGCTTTTTTTTTTTTTTTTTTTAGCCTGGTATTTTTTTAAGACAGTAATTCTCAACCCCAAAACTTGTTTACAATGGGGGAGGAAGGAGAAACATGACATTTGGACAGGAAGATCAAGGAGTTGTTCCACACAGGGGAAAAAAGCATAGCCTAATAATAGGATTCACTTTTTCCGAGGACAAAAATCACATGGGTATTAGGCTGAACTGAAATCAAATTAGCAGCACTTCATTCACACAGCAGCAGATTCCTTTGTTTTCACACTACAGCTGACAAGCTTCCACGTTCATCCAGATTTGTCGCTGCCAGATTAAAGCTAGAGGTCTGGTTATCTGTTCAAGATACGCCTCTGAACCAGTTAACACCCTGTACAACTCTCTTCAAATGCAGCCAGTGTGTTAAAGCTTTATCTCTTTTATTTCCTTCCTAAACATAATCATAGCACAGGTAGTTAAGGCAACTGAAGCCTGGAATTTTGGTCATAAATCGTCGTGATCATTAAGCGAGACACTCATGGGGCAGCCTCACTTAACAACTGCAGCTCCAATTCTTCCAGATGTGGTTGTTAAAATGATTGCGTAGGGGTGTGCCTCAGGATGGAGGAAGCCTTGGGAGACCCGGCACATAGACACCTGTCATGGCTTGAAAGGCCTCAGCCAGCTAGGCCCGCTAGCATGTGGACCCCCTACACCCCCCTCCCCAACTCCCTAGAGGCGTGGGTCTTTTTCCTGCCGCACCATGCCTGGGTCCCTCCTGCTGCTGCTGACAGATGTGTCCAGCTGATGTGAGGCTCAGATAGAAAGTAGGGAAGGCAATCTTCCTCAGGGCTAGAGAGGCAAATCTTTCTCAAGGATGACCAGGAACAGAAAGTTGGCCAGCAAAATATTGAGGCAGGGTGAGATGGGACAGGGAGAAGGCCCAGGCCTCTTGGGACTAGTAGGGGGGGGGGAGGAAAGAGACTTGCACGCCAGTGGCCCTAGATCGGGGGTCTTCAAACTTGGCCCTTTCATGACTTGTGGACTTCAACTCCCAGAACTCCTCAGTCACATGTGCCAAATAATAAGCACTTTTGATTTTGGTGCACATTCTGCGCACCAGATGAAGCCCTACATAGAGTTTGTTATAGTCATCCAATTGGGAGGGCCTTAGGACATGAATGACTGAGCAGAGCTTCCTGGTCCAGGAAGGGGTGGCAACTGACACACAAATGAAAATTGTACAAAGATCTCCCAAGCATGGCTGCTTCTTGCTCCCCCCTCTCAGGAGCGGTGGGTCCAAAAGAACCCCCAGATTATACCCTGGTTCTGAGGCAGTGGCAAGACCATTCAGAACCAAAGTGGTAGGTTCTCAGGGTCCAAAGGGCCCAAAACCCCCAAATCACTCAGTCTTATTTTTGCATGAGATCTAAACTGTTATTATCCAAACCTTTATTTAAAAAAGGCATGACTTTTTCCCCCGGCTTTGATGAAAATACAGAATCAGAGTCTCCTCCTTCCAGAAATAAAGGTTCATTTCAAACTTAGTTTAGAACACGAAATTTAGATGGACCAATCCTGCCGCTGAAAGGATCTACTTTTAAGGTTCCTTCAGGATCAAAAGGTACGTTGTTAAAACAATCAAGGTTAAATGAGGACTTGCAAGCAGATTTCAGCGTTCTTCAGCCGACTACACACTATTTTACTTTTCCACACGCCTTTCCTTGGGGAATTTCTTAGCTCCTGTTAAGAATGGGGGATCCCAGTGACACTGACACTATTCGGCCACTAGAGGACTTTGCAGCATTCAGCCCTAAATCTGCTTCTATTTTTCCCAAAAATAGGTAGATTTAACAATCCTAGAGAATTCTTGTTTAGCTGAGAGGTGATTCTGGAAATCTTTGAAGTGGTGCTAGTCCAGGAGTAGGCAACCTTGGCTCTTTTATGACTCGTGGACTTCAACTCCCAGAATTCCTGAGCCAGCCATGCTGGCTCAGGAATTCTGGGAGTTGAAGTCCACGAGTCATAAAAGAGCCAAGGTTGCCTACCCCTGTGCTAGTCCAGCACACCCAGAAGACATAATAGGTCAATTTTTAAAGGCAACTGAGGAGCTTGTTCCTGCCATTTCAAAAGGATTTTATGCACTCTTCTGTTACCACATTGCATTTCTTAGTACACGTAATCCTCAACCTACGACTATCCACTTAGTGACGGTTCAAAATTACAAAGACACTGAAAAAAGTTAACATACAAGCATTGCAGCATCCCCATAGTAATCAAAACTGGGGCACTTGGCAAGGAGCATTTACGATGGTTACAGCAGCCTGGAGTCATGTCCTTGTCATTTGAAACCCAGCCAGTTTCTGACAAGCAACGTTAATGGGGGAAGCCAAGATTAGCTTACTGACCGCGTGATTCAACTAACTGTGTGTGTGTGGGGGGGGGAGTGGTAAAATCAGTTGGAACTCACTTAGCAACCGAAAACCTGGTCCCAACTGTGGTTGTACGTTGAGGGCTACCTCCATCTGGATTTGCTTCTTCTTTTACATATTTATGTTTTGCTTCTTCTCACACATTATAAATGTTTACAAAAGATTAATGGAAAGGGCCTAGCTGGCTTTTCTTCTCCGTTTTGGGTCTCAAGAACTTGTTTTTAACTAAGCAGAAGAATTGTTCATTCTTTGGTTAAAGAATTTTTTTTTTCTTTTCACCTTTCTGTAACAGAATCGACAACAGCTTCACTGGGAGAAGCTTCTTTTAACAGTATACAAAATGCCTCTCTACCTGGAATGGGTTCTAAGGCACTTTTTTCCCCCCCTCTTTATTTTTAGCTGGTTTTTTTTTATAGTACTTCATTTTGAGAATATTTAATGTTCAAATATTGCATTAAGGACCCCAAACTGCATTAAGGACCCCAAACATCCTATATATCGTTCAAAAAGTGCCTTTCCCCCCTTGCACGATCCACAGGAAGCTGGGAATAATTAGCAAATTTCAGCCACTTCCTAAAGGGATTTGACTTTTTGCATTACGGGAAGCCAATGCCTGTGACAGAAACAATGCTTATAAAGCTTTGCCTAGTTTTAGCCTTGCCAAAACTTCAGTTAAAAAAAGAGCTTTGCCTCGAATTGACCCCTAGGTCCTCTCTAGAAGCTGGTTTTGTTGTTGTTAGTTGCGGAAGTTGTGTCTGACCCATCGCGACCCCATGGACAACGTTCCTCCAGGCCTTCCTGTCTTCTACCATCTTCTGGAGTCCATTTAAGCTCACGCCTCCTGCTTCAGTGATTCCATCCAGCCACCTCATTCTCTGTCGTCCGCTTCTTCTATTGCC